AGATTGTTTTGTATTTGGGTTTCTAGCTAATCCCCTCCTACCCATGAAAGCAAACACTGGTATCTCATCCTATAATAGCCATCCATGTCCAAAAAAATGCCACTAAAAGTCTTCATGACTATGAGATCTACAGATGACTCACATGTGATTTTGATTATTGTTGCTCCTTCTTTCTCACTCTATGTGAGCCTTTTTCTTATGAGTATTAGTGAAGATGGGAATAAGACTGTGATGGCTATTCTTGGTTGTCAATGCAACTGTATCTGGATTAACAAACAACAAAAACTAGAGTGCACACCTGTGGGAGATCTCCGCTTATTTTGAAGTATGAAGACCTAATTCTAGTTTGGATCTTTGAGGGAGGAAGTCACAGCTTTAATTCAGATCTTTAATCCAGATGAAATCTTGACAACTCCTTTTGTTGGAAGGCCTAAGAAGAATGAAGCTCTTACCCTTTCTCTGCTTGCTCTGGCCTTGTTAGCACAACCATTCCTTGACTGGCATTAAAGCCTACTTCTTTAAAATTCCAGCATATACTGCAGACCAGCTTAGACATCCAGACTTGTGGAGTGCACATCTACTGGATTCTTGGACTTTCCATTCACAGCCAGATATTGTTGGATTAGATAGAGCACAGCCTGTAAACCATTCTAACAAATACCCTTCCCATAGAGAATCATTGTATTACTTTTGGGGAATGCTGGGTAAGATACCAGGATTGTAAAGAGGACATTCTAGAGCAGTTAGGGTCTCCTAACAGTCCCAGCTCACTTACAAATTCCCAATAGTCACCTTCCCTTAACCATAGCATTCCCCAGGTGCTTGCTGACTTCAGAGAACTCAACCCTCCTACTCAATGATCATGACCAAATTCTTTGGCATGCTTTATTTTTCATGTTATTGGGTATGGATATGAGGAGGGTAAGTGCCAATTTTAGGCAGGGTTTGTAAAGTGAGACTTCAATTCCACATGGGTGAATTACTGAAAAATTCCTATGAAGCAGAGAGATATCTCTAGCTTTGGAAGGAGGAGGTGCTGAGTTACTTCCCCTGTGTCACAGGAGAGACTTCTGGAAAGGAATCAACAACTTCTGTTCATCTCATGGAGAACTAATTAGCAAGGAGGCAAAGGCTGTGCCCTATGACATCAGCAGACCCTTTGCTGGACATTCTGTTTTATCCTGGACAGCTCTTGGAATCCCAGTGATGTCACTAGTGTTGTAGCAACACTGACTGCTTTGAGGTCATTTGTTCAGTGACCACAAGCTTGGCCTCTAGACATGCTTTCCAGACTCAGAGTTCTGCTTGGCAGAGGGAATGGACAGCATAGAGAGACCACAGTGAGGCAGAAGGAAGCTGGCCCCGGGTCTCCCTGGAAAACATGGAGAAAATGGTCCTGGGGAAGAGGCAGTGAGTTTTGGGAAGGGGCTGGGGAGCTTTTTGGATGTGGTGGGACTCAGCTTTCCAGAGCAAGGGCTGAAGAACTGGGAACGTCTTGGAAGGAGGCACAGAGGAATTAATGAGATTTCTGTACCATGACTGTGTTTCACAGCCACGGGAGTCCTTTAGTTATGTGCCAGTGATAATAGGGAAAGGAGAGTACCCTGGAAACCCTGCGGTTCTCATACTTGACATCACAATCACTAGTATGGCATGATAGATGAGGACATCATGGGAATTGCAAGAGGCAGGGTGCTGGGGAGGCTCTCAGGAATCCACAAGGATGACCCCACCTGGGAGAGCTGGCAGCGGTCTAGAGGGTGCCTGGACTGGGCTACTCTGGTGACCGGTCCAGTGAATACCCTAACCGCCATCATAGAGCCTGTGTCCAGTGACTGATGGAGGCAGATGCAGAGATGCATGGCCAAGTGCCAGGCTGAGCTCCAGGAATCCAGTTGATGAGAGAAGGGAGGGATTTTTTTTTTTTGCTGGCACGGGACTTCGAGGACATGATAGGAAGACATGCAGAGATGACCAGCCACACTAGTGTAAGCCCCTAAACTGTAGACTAGTGGCTGTTGAGCTCCCATAGGACTGGAGTAGGCCCTCTGGATATGGAAGATGGTTGTTTGGCTCGAACTGTTTGGGGTCACCAAGGCAGGGGTTTGGAATCTGTCCCTGGTGCATGGGCAGGCTTTTGGGAGCCTGGTGCCTGTGGTGTAATGCCTTGTGCAGCATTAGTGCAGTGGGGAGGG